GACCAGCATAAACCAGCAAAAGGACCAGCATAAACCAGCAAAGGACCAGCTTAAACCAGCTTAAACCAGCATCCCAGCGTCAAAACATACCTAACCAGCATATGCTGTTTTTTTCAACAGGGTAACATCAAAACGGCGTCTGCTTGTCTTTAGTTTAATAAGATGATGATAGATAAATTCAGTTACAGATCACAGTTCATCTGATTTTGACAGGTCTGGCAAATCTGAGGGAAAGTTTGAGGAGTTTTCAGGTGGGCGGAGCTAAACGCGGCGCGCGAAGAAAAAAACACACCAACGACAACAATCATCTTTCAGAGGTATTTTTATGAATTACATCGTCCGCTTGACGTCAGACACCGGGACACATTCAACATTTTTTACTTTAATCATGACGTTAAAATGGCAGCACGTGAGCGTATCCTTTGTGCAGAAAAGAAAAGAAAAAAAGAGTCGCTAGAAAAAAAAAAGTTGAGTTTTCTGAGGCAAACGCGCTTGTACTTTACGAGAGATTTCGCGATTACACTAACTGGCTTCCAATATTCAGCTGATAATCAGTGTACTTGTTGCGTTTTAGTCTATTTTAAGGAATACCAATTGGATATTTGCAGATGTAACGCGTAAAGTGTATTTAACCAACTGTTTAAAGTTTTATCTCTCTTAAAGTTGTTTTTTTCATGTTTCTAAACTTTACAACGTTTCTCATCTTTAAAATTGATTTCTATGCAGTCATGTACCAGAATAATAGTTTTATTTGCGTTTTAAATGAGTTAGCCGGTCAACAAACTGTAAGGAGAGAAACGCCGGTTTACGTCACGAAGGAATTTTTTCGTTCAAATTAAATGTTGCAAAGTAGCCAATTTCCTAATCGCCCTTAAATTCGTTATTTCCTACATGTAATGTTAAAATAGCGCTGCATATTATGTGCGCTCCGTTGAAACTGATGCATATAAACCATGCGTGAATAATAAGGATATTGAAGCAGAAATACCTCAGATGTCTTGGAGTGCCTGGAGGAGTCCGTTATTGTCACGGGATATGTTCCCCTGAATGGAAAACTGCACTGTAGCCCTTGTGAGAAAGAGAAAAGTGAGTGAATTATCCTGATAGGTCGAGGGGAGGTGCTTTGGTTGAAGAACCATAGAGGAGGGGGTTTGAACCCACTGACTATACCCCTGCAATGCAACCAACTATTATTTTCCATAAATTTCTCCCCCAGTAGAAACAATTATTCTTTGTAATCATTGATCGATGATGTTTATGTTTGAAAAGGCAGGATAGGCCTACACGATAGCCACAGCAATCATGAGGCAACATTTTACAAACAATGATATTTGTAAATGCTATATAAACATAATAAGCTATAAATGTTATAGAACTAATCTTTGTAGTCAGTATATACTGAGACAAAACGTTTAACTCAAATTGTTGCCAATTATATTATTATGTAGCATTTTTATTTTGCATTTTTTATGAACAAAATGTGAATGTTTTTTCTTTGCAATTTATTTTGTCACAACAATTGAAGTGAAAAGTTTAACTTAAAAAGTTTTACATTGTCTTAGTATATGTTTATTTTATTTTGCATGTTTTTGCACACAAAAATGTTTCATGACCATTTATATTTTCAACACACTAAAAAATGCTGGGTTAAAAAGGGACAAACCCAGCTATTGGGTTGTTTTGACCCAGCGGTTGGGATCAAAACAACCCAACCGCTGGGTCAAAACATCCCAATAGCTGGGTTTGTCCCTTTTTAACCCAGCATTTTTTAGTGTGTTGAAAATATAAATGGTCATGAAACATTTTTGTGTGCAAAAACATGCAAAATAAAATAAACATATACTAAGACAATGTAAAACTTTTTAAGTTAAACTTTTCACTTCAATTGTTGTGACAAAATAAATTGCAAAGAAAAAACATTCACATTTTGTTCATAAAAAATGCAAAATAAAAATGCTACATAATAATATAATTGGCAACAATTTGAGTTAAACGTTTTGTCTCAGTATATACTGACTACAAAGATTAGTTCTATAACATTTATAGCTTATTATGTTTATATAGCATTTACAAATATCATTGTTTGTAAAATGCCAGCGCTGGGTTATATTTAACCCAGCATTTTTTAGAATGCACTATTTCAGTGAAACGTTGAACCGAACATTTCAAATTGCCTTAGTATGTGGTATGATTTATCTTGATCTGTATGATTTATACAGACTTTGCAAAAAATTAAATGAAAAGATAACTTACAAGTAAAACTAAATGTACTACATTGCTATGACTAAAAAGTCAAACTAAGGCCAATGGAAGGTCAGGCTCAGCACGTTGTCATTATATTGAAAGGGTGAATAATCCAGTGTTAGCCAAACAAGATGAAAAGGGTTGTTTTCTCACTTAGTTTCTTCACTGCTACCTAGCTTGCCTGATTTTAATTGGCTGTTAGGGACGACGTGCCACCTGGGTGGTTAAACAGCTGAGCGCAACCCAAATGCGAGCAACAACATTGTTGAAACTGCCAAACTGATTCAGCAGGTTTAAAAAAACATAGATGCCTTTGTTGCCTGAGCAATTTCAACAACGGCCTCCATCACCCTCACATTTATTGTGCTCATTTTATCCCTCAGTAAGTCAAAAAACGTGGGAGATTTGTTTAAATTATATTAGTTCCCAATGTCATAAAAGTTAATTGGAGAAATCAGCACGCAACTGTGTTTGAGCACAACTCGTGATTAAATCGCCTACGTCATGTAAAATACGTCCATGGGCCTTTAGTGCTAGAAGTTATTTGCGGTGTGTTTTCTGATCCTCCTCGTCCTTGGAGCGAATGCAATGGAATGAGATAGGACCAATGTTCTTGGCAAAGTCGTCTTTCTCCGAGACCCACGCGGCTCACTCCTAAACAGAACCATATTGTGCGCTGAGCCCACTTTCCCTTTCCTTTCGACTCCCCCTCTACATCTGACAGGTTGTGTTGAACAGTATGTTTGCGCCCAAAGAGGATGCGACATCCAGAGACTTTCCAGGAAGATGATAAAGAACGAGATGTTTTCTGACTAATCTCGTGACTGTCTTGGATTGCTCTGGGGATTATACATTTACGAAAATTGTAAACACTGTCTGCTTTCGATTAATGTAATACTTTCTCTATTAGCGGCGTTTGCTTAGCAAGCATCAGTATTACTTTTGCTCATAGTGATTGGAACAGACATCTTGTGCTCTAGACATTAAGGGAATAGTTAATTTACTGCAAATATCCTCACCCTCAGGCCATTCAAGATGTAGATGAGTTTGTTTCTTCATCAGATTTGGAGAAATGTAGCATTGAATCAATTGCTCAGCAGTGGATGCTCTGCAGTGAATGGGTGCCGTCAGATTGAGAGTCCAAACAGCTGATAAAAACATCACAATAATCCACACCAACGTCTTGTGAAGCCAAAAATCTGCATGTTTGTAAGAAACAAATCCATCATTAAGACACTTTTAACTTAAAACCATTGTTTCTGGCTAAAACACAAGTCCGTAATCCATAATAACGCTTCCTCCAGTGAAAAAGTACATCTCCTGTTTTCCTTTCGCATCAAAATCCACCCACATATTTGTTTTGGACTGTTTTTGCTTGTAAACAATGCTTGATCTGTGCAGATTCAGACCAGACAACTTTTTCACTGGAGGAAGAGTTATTATAGTTTATGGAAACATATTTCAGCTGGTAGCAACAGTTTGCACTTAAAGAACACAATTAAATTAGCATGTTTTGACGGCTTGTTTTTTAGAAAGGCAATAATTGCAGGGAGTATTTGAGATGGTGTTGTGCTACAGCTGGACTTTGTCATAGAGAAGGTTTGTTTATGAGAGATGACAAATCCTGCGTAAACCAGATGATGATCCAGTTGTTTTTAATATGGTTCTGGTCTCATCAAGAAGCCTCAGTTTGACTCCTCCATTAGTTCTGTCGATGCTGCTTCGATTGGCTTTGGCTCTGCATCTCTGTCTTCTTTTTTAAAAGAACATAATGTTTTGTTTCTGCAAAACAATGCATTATAAAAACAGGAATTGCATTGTTTTGTTTCTGCAAAACAATGCATTATAAAAACAGGAATTGCATTTTATATGAGGCGTTTTGAGTCATAAAACAAAAAAAAACAAGTTAGATAACAATAAATGTGTTCTAAACTAGCCTAAACAGCAGTTTGTTAGGGTTCTGTTATCTCCAACATGCATTGCGGTGTGATAAATTATGTGGTTATTGCTATAGGAACATTGGTTTGTTGTTTGCTGACTTTATTTATGCTGTTGTTGTCCTATTAGTTTGCTCTTGTTGTGTTTTATGTGTGTTATTTGTCATTGATATTGAGGTTTGTGTGCTACAGTATTGTTCACAAGTTTACGGTTGGTAAGATTTTTTAAATGTTTTGAAAGAAGTCTCTTCTGCTCACCAAGGCTGCATTTATTTTTATCAAAAATACAGTAATATTGTGAAATATTTTTAGAATTTAAAAGTACTGGTTTCTATGTGAACATATAGTAAATTGTCATTTATTTCTGTGATGCGCAGCTGAATTTTCAGCATAATTACTCCAGTCCTCAGTGTCACATGATTTTCAGAAATGTCTTTACTGTCACTTTTGATCAATTTAATATGTCCTTGCTGAATGAAATTATTCATTTCTTCAAAAAACTTACTGACCCCAAACTTTTGAATCCATGTACAAATTACACAGTACAATATCTGCAAGAAATTGTTCTCTTCAGAGGCAAATATTGTCTAAGAATGAAAATGTCTTGCATTGCTAATTGATCATTTGTTGAACAAGATATTTTGCTGTTGATTGTCTGAATGAGACTTTTTTTTTACCAACAGTTGACTTATTTACAGTTAACATGAATAAATCATAACTGAGAAACTAGCAATTTTGTAAAACTCACATATCAGAAGCTCCCTCGAGCTTTAGGAAACTAGATACTTCGATAGGTCCTATTATATGAAGGATCTCAGCTGAAAACTGTTATCGGTGCATCTCAGAGGATCAACTGAAGCCGTAGTGAGACACCCCTGTCATTTATTTTGGAAAGACGTTTGATTCAAGCCACATGCGGAGCGTTATGCACATTAGTTCTGTGCAAACTATAAGCGTGCACATATCTTCAGGTTCCTGAGAGTTTCTTCTTTGACGGACACTTATATCGAGGTCAAGAAAATGGGAACGCTCCTTATCTATTGGGTAATGAATGCCTTGCAATTTGACATTGTAGCCTTGCTGCAAGGAACGGATGTATAAAATGCCCTATGTTGTAAAGTATTGAGTCAATAAATGAGGTTTGGATGGGCTTCAGATCTGGGTTTGTGGTGGTGACCCACAGGGGTCAGGGAGGAGCGTGACAGTTTTGAGATGCTCCCTGTTTGCAACCCTGCGGTCTGGCGTGAAAAGGACTGTGAAAGAATCGGCTTGACAGTAGAAATTAACGCATCTTTAAGTATATGTTTTACTTGTATATAAAAGAACAACGCAAACATATTCTGCTAAACATCTTATTTTGTGCTCCACGGAAGCCATATGGGTTTGGAGCGACACAAGGGCGAATAAATGAAGAACTAAGGAAATTTGTGGTCATCGGTTGAAAGAATCCACCATTAAATCTCCCATAAAGTCCTTGAGTTTCATTCTGTTCATTTCCCCAAACATCAGAGGAGTGCTAAACTATTTTGGGAAGCGACTCTTAGGTCACTGTAATTTCTGGTGCTTTTACACCTCGAGAGCGCTTTGTTCTCTCAAACATCTTGTTCTTTTTTTATATATAAATATATTTCAGTAACGCTAACCTCACCTTCCTCCGAGGCAGCTGTAGGCCTCCAGTGATGTAGCGAGGTAAGAATGCAGGACTTCAAAGGTGGACAAAAGGACAAATGCAAGCTGTTTTTGAACCAAACGCCATCATGTGCCTTCGAGACATTAAAGTGGGAATTGCACACGTGAGAATGGCTCCTACATTGATAGCACATGTTAAATGTAATGTTCATTAATTGCTTCTGTAAAACACCAAGAGAAGGTACGTAAGAGACAGAGATG